GTGAAAGAAAAATTGAAACTTTACCCTAGTACTTTTTTGATAAGGATTGCAAAATATATGTTTTTACTAACTTAATTATTTGCAATTTTAACAAAGCTCATTACCTGGCTGGATAGAATGCATTATTTATTTTTTATAATCAGTCCATATCTGAAAGACAAAAGGAGTTATTTTTCTGCTAGTATATTGTTAGGAATCCCTGTATTCCCAATGTATAAGGACCACTACCTAGTTCACATTTTATCTGTACAGTTTAGTAATTGACAGATTGTTCTGGCTTGGAGCATGTATGGCAGTGTTGGCAAAGCCTAACTGAAACCACAACATTGACACTATGGGAATCAGCTGTGTGTTTTCTAAGTCTGCTAAACTCAGAAGTGGGAAGGGTTTAGTAAAGTGAAGGACAGAAGCAGAGTTTGAGAATATCTGCCACCCCTGATTAGCTTTTTTGTTTTCTGGAGGTCTTAATTTGAATGTCATATAAAAATAAGCTTTACAAACTTAGGAATGTTGAGTAATTTCCTGATTTCTTTTTTAATTTCTAGTTATTTAAAATTAGTTGTTAGAAGAACTCCATTAACAAAAACTTTTCATAAATTAGGAAAAAAAGAAAACCTCATGTGCCATATCTCTCTGTTTAATAATAATAGTTTTTGTGTACGTCAGATCAATATTTTAAACTTTAGCTTTTTATGAGTTAAAATTGATGAAATAGTTGCAAAGATGTGGAAACAGTCTAAATGCCCATCAATTCTGGAAGGGATCAATAAACTGGTATATATGTATACCATGGAATACTGTTCAGCCATAAAAACGGAGACTTTGGGGCTGCGCCTATGGCTCAGTGAGTAGGGTGCCGGCCCCATATACTGAGCGTGGCAGTATAAAACCTGGCCCCAGCCAAACTGCAATTAAAAAAGTAGCCAGGCGTTGTGGTGGGCGCCTGTAGTCCCAGCTACTCGGGAGGCTGAGTCAAGAGAATCGCTTAAGCCCAGGAGTTGGAGGTTGCTGTGAGCTGTGTGATGCCACAGCGCTCTACCAAGGGCAACAAAGTGAGACTCTGTCTCTACAAAAATATATATATATATATATGGAGACTTTGCATCATTTATATTCACCTGGATGGATTTGGAGAGCATTCTAAATAAAGTATCTCAAGGACAGAAAAGCAAGCATCCCAGTGTACTCAGTTCTAATCTGAGATCAGCAACTACAGGTCCACATGGGAGAAAAACACAATTAAATTCAAGAAGCGGGGAGAGAAGGGAGACTCCAGAAGTTACCTATCAGGTACAATGTAGGGGTATGTGACACACTTACTGGGTGAAGAACTCAACAGCAACTCAGACTTTGGACTTTATATTACAAACACAAATAATGTGACCAACTCCTATGTACCCTTACTCCAACCTGAAATTTAAAAAAAATTGACAAAACAATTACTAAGCACCTGATGTATCCCATGGTAAGCCTCCCGGTATTTGGTATTGCTGTATTTCAGTAGTACCTAAGGTCGGCTATAGTTTGGCAAGGTGTCTTGAGAAAGTGAGGGATATGAAGTTGGTTTTTGGAAAATATCTTATTTCTCCATTCCCTTCCCCCGTGAAGCCTGGAATTCTTGCATCTGTATGTAGTTGAGATATTTGATATGTTACTTGTTGACAGAGTTTTACAGCAATTTTTACAGGTTCACAGGAACAAATAATTAACACAAGCTCTCTTAGTGAAAACATGGGCATGAGGCTATAAAGTGATACTTTTGGTTAACAATTCTTAATCTGTATTGAGTATTCTGTTTCCATAGTCTCACAAGTATGTTTTCAGGTGCTAGGTAAGCTGGAAATACTCTTAATTTTTAAAAATTTACATATTTAAATATGTATACTTTTGTTCCTACAAAAAGACTGATTTGTTCTTAAGTTTTTGTAAGTGATATTTGAAAAAGAATATATGTAGGAACAAGCCATATTCTCCAGAGTAAAATCATTGAGTGCCGGTTAGTAACTAGCCTCAGTAGATATTAAGTATCTGTTCTGACTATATCTTTTTAAATTACCTATAAATTTTTGAGTTATGAAACCAGTGTTCTGTTTCATAGTTGTATACTGTATGCACCTTGCTAAAATTACAGCCAGCACCAACGGTTTAAGGTGCACACAAGGATAAATAACAATATTGTCATTTGTCTTGATGTCAGTATGCCTTTAAAGTATATTATCAAAAAGTAACTAAGTCTGAAAAAAATGGTAAATATGCATTTTAAATCTAATTTAAATTTCATATTAGTAAAAATAAGAAATGGAAAATAATCACTCTGAAATAACTGTTTCTCAATGTTGTTAAATCTGAGCCAGTGAGGTCCTAAAACTGAATTCTTGGTGGTGGGTAGTCATCTCTTCTTTTTCACTATTGGCTTCCAATTCTCTCTGCATTGCTGGAAACAAAAATCATCTATTCTGGTATTGGTGATGGGAATGCTCACACTGAAAAAACAGACACATTCAAATTGATTTTAGAAATAAGTTACAATCAAAATTTGTTTTTGCTAAATTAGTAGAGGGCCAATATGGTTTTTCTCCCCTAATAGCATGTTTTGGTGCTTCTACAATGACTTTGTAACTTTTTTTTAAACAGGAATAAAATATCACATTCTTTAAAAATTTTAAGAAAATATGAGCTTTTACCTGGTTTGTATATGTAGATAAATATTAATTTAAATTTCATGCATTTTCACATTGAAAGAATTATTTATGAAAATAGCTTAAATGATACAGCTCAGGTTTTACATTTTACATGTTTTACAAAATAGTTAAATTTCATGCCTTAAATTATTTATATTATAATGAAAATTTTGGGTTTGGTGCCTGTAGCACAGTGGTTATGGTGCCGGCCACATGCACTGAGGCTGGCAGGTTTGAACCTAACCTGGGCCAGCTAAACAACAGTGACAACTGCAACCAAAAAATAGCTGGGCATTGTGGTGGGCGCCTACAGTCACAGCTACTTGGGAGGCTGAGGCAAGAGAGTCCCTTAAGCCCAAGAGTTTGAGATTGCTGTGAGCTGTGATGTCACAGCACTCTACAGACGGTGACATAGTAAGACTGTCTCAAGGAAAAAAAAAGAAAAGAAAATTTTGGAAATTTATGAAAATAATGAAAAATTTTAATACATAAGTTTTTCATGGATAAGCAAGTAAAAATAATAAGTCCTTTCCTTTTGAGGCTTAATAATAAAATACAAACTATAATAAACTTTAATAAAGTTTTAAATAAACTTTTTAAAATAATAAAATGCAAACTATTATAAACTTTTACATACTAGTATGGATCTATCTGAAAGTGCTGGCATATTTAATGATTTCCAAAAGTGGCTGGAAATTTTTATTTCTAGTTGGCTCAGCTAGGTAGTTGATTAAATTTATTGCATTAAAAAGAAAAAAATTCTCCAACTGTAATGATTTTTGTCATTAAAAGATGAAAAGAAATGTATCACTGGAAGATACATGTTAGTAACTTGAGATAAACATGTTAATATATCTAACACATTACACTCACACAATGCCTGCTTTTTAACTGACATTTAGTTTTATGAATTTTAAATTAAAATTTTACTTTAAAGATAAGTTAGTGAACTCTTTGAAGCAGTGCTTAATGTACTCCTAAGATTTGTAAAAATTAATGTGCCCTAAAGAATTAGTGTCTTTTTCTCAGTTGTTGTAGGCATTAGATATGCAGATGACTTCTGCAAGCAAAAAGCCATTGGCTTACTTCGGTGATACTGGTGGCCAATTCACTGTGCCTGATTGAATTTAAAATGACAAATCATACTTTGGATGTAGTATATTAGCTTTTTAGGTGCTAGGTCCATTATGTCACAATTTTTTCATTGGAAACATTGAGGTTACCAATCCCAGCTAAAGTATCCTAGTCTCCAAATTGAGTAATTTATTCATAAAATTAAAAAGAACAGAATAAGCTTAAACTCAAATGTGTAGTAAAATGCCAGTTTAACACAAATAATACATATTTTAAAGTAATTTGCACTACATGTAAATACCACTTTCTGTGCTATTTCCTTTTTTTAAATTTAAGTTTTTCTGGACAAACTAGGATCACAGTAAACAGCCCTTTGTCCTCTTTGGCTACTGCCTCATAGTCTGGATTGAAAAAGATTAAAATCTTTTCAATTTTTTTCCATATGGCCATATATGACTGTGCTTGTCCTAGCTTTCTATATAGCTTTAGCAGGAAAAAAGTCCTTTATAGTATTTAAATTAAAATAGAAAGTACAAAGCCAGTATGATTGTACACTGTTCTAAAATGCTCCTTTTTTACCATTTTATATTATGGTAAACAGCCATCATTTAACATTTTAATTTAAATAATGTCCCAGGCACAAAAGTCCCAGTTGATCCTCCACCTGTGGATCCTGGAAATAGACTGGAAAATGTTACAATTGGAAATAAAACTCAAGATTCTAGTCTCTTCACTCTCACCTTTATTTTGAGATGCTTTTTGTGTTTTAACAAAGCTTTTTACATCACTATTACATCATTTTTCTTCCCACTGTAATCAGTAACAAATAGTACCGTTGGGAGTCAGTAGTGCATAAATTACTTATTTTTCCTGTGTCAGAGAAGTAAACTTAACTTTACTTCAACTGAGGTTAAACCTAATTTCCTTTGAGGCTTTAAATCCAAGACTGGCAAATTAAAGTAATTTCATTAATTAATAACCAGCTAGGTCTTTTGTAATCACTCCTGATTCCTAATTTTTTAAATTCTTATTCCATTAGAAAGCAAAACTGACTTAAAGAGCAAACCAGGATTCTAGCCCATATTTTAAAATTGCATCCTCAGTTTTAGTCCAACACTCTGATGTCTGTTTAAAAAAAAATTCTCAAGTAAAGCTCATAATTTCAAACTTCTTGCACATGGCTGTCCCAATAAGTTACTCTTACCAATGAAGCAGACTTTAAAGAAGTTGTGTTTTACAATGCAGAGAGTGGAGGATGCTTTTTATACATTGGTGAGAGAGATCCGACAATACAGATTGAGAAAAATCAACAAAGAAGAAAAGACTCCTGGCTGTGTGAAAATTAAAAAATGCATTATAATGTAACCTGGTAAGTTAAGCATATTAATTTTGGCAGAAAGCAGATGTCTCTCAAAGGTAACAAAGTAGCAACCACTGTAGAGCTACTTAGGTGTGGTGTTCTAATCTGAAGAAATAAAAGATAAGAAACTGGTAGTTTGTTTCCATAATTTAATAAATTTATTTTTAATCTAAGGGGTATTATAACTGAGACAGTTTTAATGGCTAGAGTTGACTAATCTATATTCAGCATAAGGTCTGCTATAAACTAAGCATTTGAGAACTGGCACTTGCATTTATTTTTAAGTGATACTATACTCAAGTTTTGAAATAATCAGCAGCTTTTGCTATTTCTTAGGAAGAGAAACATAAGAAATGGTATAAAGCAATAAGATTGAGCGGTTCATAAGGTGGGAAAGAGCTGCTGTTACATAAATGGTGTTTTTCCTTTGGGGCATTTCACAAGCAAACAACTATTCAGTGGCACTAACAGCACTGGAATGTTTAGGATGACTCCTAAGTCCTTCTTCTCACCCCCATTTGGAAGCAACAACACATTCTTTGATTCTTCAACCACACTCTTACGACACTTAAATGTCATTCTTTTTGGTCTTTGATTTAGTTAGTAACTTACCTATAGAATAAAATCTCAGGTTCCACAACATGTCCTATATGGATGGCCCTTACTGCCTACCTCTCCAGCTCTTTTTTGGCCTTATACCCGAAAACTCCATCATCTTGCTTGGTCCTTATTTTAACAAACACTATATTATTTCCTGCTTTTCCTTGAATCTTGCTCTTTGTTTAGAATGCTGGTATTCTTATCCCTAGTATTTTCAAGTAGTTAACACACTTTTATGAATCCCCAGTCTCCAGTTCTCTAAGAATCTTTTTAAACCCTGAGACTAGGCATAGTACACTCCTGAGTATTCCCAGTATACTCTCTTAACAGTTATATGTTTCCCATGTTATATTAAAATAACCTCTTTGTTTCATTTCTATAGTAGACAGTAGAATCTTAGAGACCCAGAATATTTTTAATCTTTGCATGCCCTTTGCCTAGTGAAATTCAAGTTGTTTATTCATAGTTTGTAATACGTAATCTTTTGGGAGAATATGAAATAAGATTAATTTTCAAAAGCTAGTAGGATATTATTAATTATAATTATTAAACTAAAATTTAGTATTCTTTATTATGTGAATTTTAAGTATCTCTCAAAGATATATAGCTATTAAACTCAGAAGAAATAATGCATTAAGTTTTATTGAGATTTATGAACTCTTAGTATTTTTTTAGTTTTATTGGGTAAAGCTGTACAGTAGAACCTTTGTAGTTGACCACATCCTTCCATTGACCACCTCCTTAAGTTGACATAATTTTTCATAGACTGGACATGTACCACATGTATTTTTACTGTAGGTCTAGTTCCTTATGTTGACCATCTCTGTGTGTTGACCAGTTTATTATAGTCTCTTAGGTAGTCAATGTATAGAGAGTCTTATTTCAGTAAAAAAGGTGTGGTAAAGTACAGCATTACAATTCAATTTGAAAAGATAAATTCGTAAGTGACAGTACTATTACGAGATTTAAATGGTGTTTTTATTTTCCCCTGCTATTGGCTATTAGATGATTTTTTAAAAGGTGAAAGATGTATATGATATGAAGAGAAACTAGAGTATATTAGATGATTTTTAAAGTAAAGTTTTATACTTTATATTTATTTTTTATTTATTTTTTTGAGACAGTCTCACTATATCGCCCTTGGTAGAGTGCTATGGTGTTCCAACTCACAGCAACTTCAAACTCTTGGGCTTAAGCAATTCTTTTGCCTCAGCCTCCCAAGTAGCTGAGACTACAGGTGCCTGCCATAATGCCTGGCTATTTTTTGGTTGTAGTTGTCATTGTTGTTTGGCAGGCCTGGGCTGGGTTTGAACCTGCCAGCTCCAGTGTATGTGGCTGGCGCCCTAGCTGCTGAGCTATAGATGCCAAGCCTAATTTATATTTAAAACAAAGATGTAAGCATATACTATTCTAAAATTTCTAATCTGTGCAAACTGTTTTCAGTGTCTGTAGTGTGAATGTCAAAATGATTGTTTTACATGATGAATTGAATCTTTGTTTTTTCAGTAGATAAGGATAGAATTTATATTAATATAAAGTATATTGGTAATATTTTAAAAATTAAATAAAAACAATTTTTAAATATTTGAAGTGATAAAAATTTTCTTAGTACTGAAAAAGTTAGGTTTAAACAAAATAACAAAAATAGATAACTTTTATCTTTGTATGTGTGTGTGAATGATTAGTTTATATATGAGAAAAAGGAATTCACTGCCTTCTGTTAGGTTAATTGTGATATTGCCCTAATTGTTGAAATTAATTTTAATACGATTATATAGAAAGGAGAGTTCAGTACAACATGAGCCTAAAGTATTTGTCAAAATCTTAGAAGAGGGTAATGTTATCAAATTCTGTCTTCATTGTCTCTTAAATAGTTGTATGTTGTTTTTCACTGTGGAATGAAAGTATCTTCCCTCTATCTATTTCGTGGGGTTTTTTTTTCATTTTTTTCTTCTTTACAATATTGGTATCATTGGGTTTTTTCTTTAGTATAAAATTAGTTGAAACGGAGTGGACTAGATGAGGATGTGTGATCAAAGGGAATTTGTGAAGGGAGTTAGAGTAGATCCTCTCAAGATTCTGTCACATTTTAAGGTTTTATGACTCTTACATTGTCAGGTGTTGCCAAGCTGTGGGATAACCTTTATTATATAAGTTTTTCCCTTTATGTGTGTTAAGAAAGTGAGCATGAAGGGATACACACACACCTAATTAAGCTTTGACTTTATTGATGATAAGTTAATTTTCCTTTCTCCGTTGGGAGAGACAAAGCATGTATTCGTATTCTATCAGGGATGATTATTAGAAAGTAGAAAACATTAATGAGATTTTTTCTAATACATACGTTGTGAACATTATTCAAATGTAACTAATTTTGTTTGAAAGAAAATGCTGTAAATTAATTTTCCTATTTCCTTTGAAATATTGTTAAAGATCTTTGTAATTAGTAAAGGAGAAATCATATCACTTAAATTTTTATATTTTTAAGATAATATAACTTATTTGTATATACATATTATAATATTCATACCGTTTATGATATTCAACAGAAATGATTACAGTTTTCATTGTTCTTCAGCCAGCTTGATTTATACAACTCAATTTCTTGTGTTTCTGTTTCTAAGACTCCCTCTAGTGTCTAGGTTTGGAAGCATTTGGTTAACAGGCTTTTTTTTTTTTTTTTTGGTAAATAAACTTCCCACAACTTCTGGGCCCAAGTGATCCTCTTGCCTCAGCCTCCTGAGTAGCTGGGACTACATGTGCAAGCCATCCCACACAGCTAATTTTTTTCATTTTTTTGGAGATGTGATCTTGCTGTATTGTGTATGCTGTTCTTAAACTCCTGGGGTCGAGTAATTCTCCTGCCTCAGCCTCTTGAGTCACTGGGATTATAGGTGTGAGCTACTGCCCCTGTGCCCCTGTTAGGATTTCTTTTTATATGTGGTGACTTCTCAGTTGGGTAGATTTTAAAATACAGAGAGGGTTATATTTCTTTCAGTTTTTTTGTTTATATTTTTTATATTATTTATATTCTTCCATAATTTAGTACATGTTTAAAATCTGTTCTACCACTTTCAGAGTGCCATTTTTCACATTATGGATCTTTAGGTTGAAAATTTTTCTTATTTAAAATCATTTTGACCCTACTGATTTAGCTACCTTGCTTTAATCACAAATATATGTAGACCACAATGACTAAAATGTTACACTTTTTGAAGACAGGGCATTTGGCTTTTTATGGTAAACTTTTGAGTACCTAATACATTAAACAAAAACTAAAACAATGATAATGTCCAAATTGGCAATCTACAACACCATTCATTTGATTTAGCACATTTCACCACAAATCAGAGGTATTACATTTTTCAGAGTAATAGTATGCTGTATTGGAGTCACTTTAAACCTCTTAATTATAAGGTCGTGAATTGAAACTGTCTTAATATGTATTATTTGAAAAGTGAAATAATTTGTTCGGATACTGTTCACTTCATAGTAAATTACTAGAATAGTTATGTTCAGATACTGTTTATTTCTTGGTAAATTATTTAAATCTAATGGATTTTACATAAACATGGAATCAGAGCTCAAAGTTCAGAATCTCAGGGACATTAAGTGTGCAAACACTTCCAGGCATTTGGGTTTTAGTGACCTAGGTTTGCCAGTAGGGAAAAATGAGTAGCAAATTAAGTTCTCCTGAGAAAAAGGCATTTGTTAAGCTTAAGATTCTGTGCCATTGATTATCATTGCCTTTGTGAAAAGTCAGTGTTCCTACATGTAAATAGTCACATTTTATTACTGTTTATGTATTTCAGGGTGTTGACGATGCCTTCTATACATTAGTTCGAGAAATTCGAAAACATAAAGAAAAGATGAGCAAAGATGGTAAAAAGAAGAAAAAGAAGTCAAAGACAAAGTGTATAATTATGTAAATATAATTTGTACTTTTTTCTTAAGGCATACTTAAGTAAAAGTGGTAATTTTTGTACATTACACTAAATTATTAGCATTTGTTTTAGCATTACCTAATTTTTTTCTGCTCCATGCAAACTGTTAGCTTTTATCTTAAATACTTATTTTAAAATGACAGTGGAAACTTTTTTTCCTCTAAGTGCCAGTATTCCCTGAGTTTTGGTTTTTGAACTAGCAATGCCTGTGAAAAAGAAACTGAATACCCGAGATTTCTGTCTTGGGATTTTTGGTGCATGCAGTTGATTACTTCCTGTTTTTCTTACCAATTGTGAACGCTGGTGTGAAACAAATTAATGAAGCTTTTGAATCATCCCTATTCTGTGTTTTATCTAATCACATTAATGGAATGATTACTAATTATAACTTCAGTTGAGACTTTATGATTGGTTTTACTGAAACATTGAGGGAACACAAATTTATGGGCTTCCTGTCAATTCAGCTTCCAGGCATCATGTCCTATTGTTTGTCATCCTTAATTGAATGTAAAGTTACACTGTTCACAAAGGTTTTGTCTCCTTTCCACTGCTATTAGTTATGGTGTCTTTCTCAAAATTATATTTTTTCTATAAAAAGAAAAAAATGGAAAAAATACAAGGCAATGGAAAATATTAAAAGACCATTTCCTTTCCACATTGGATAAATTACTGTAAGACTCCTAATAGCTTTTCCTGTTAAGACAGACCCAGTATGAAATAGGGATTATAGCAACCATTTTGGGGGCTGTATTTACATGCTACTAAATTTTTTAAAAATTGAAAAAATGTTAACATGTATAAAAATTCTCATAGGAATTAAATGTAGTCTCCCTGTGTCAGATTGCTCTTTTGTAGCATAACTTTAAATCTTTTCTTGAACTTCAGTCTTTGAAAATAGTTTCAATTCTGATAGTGATATTAAAGATCATTCCGGCCAGTTATAGCTTAGTGGGTGTTAAGTAGACCAAGGTTGCAAGTCCTGTGGGAGCCTTTGAACTTCATTGAGAGTTTCACAGTATGGACTGCATCGCAAGCATTGGTAGGTCAAAATCCGGACTAAGAGAGAGTTTGGGTAGTTCAACAAGATGCAGACTGTCAGTGTATGCTGACATTGTTGTCAAGCATTGGTTGGTCAAAATCCGGACTAAGAGAGAGTTTGGGTAGTTCAACAAGATGCAGACTGTCAGTGTATGCTGACATTGTTGTCAAGCATTGGTTGGTCAAAATCCGGACTAAGAGAGAGTTTGGGTAGTTCAACAAGATGCAGACTGTCAGTGTATGCTGACATTGTTGTCAAGCATTGGTTGGTCAAAATCAGGACTAAGAGAGAGTTTGGGTAGTTCAACAAGATGTAGACGGTCAGTGTATGATGGTTCTGCTGACAAATCAGGAGTGTCACTTTTGTTCTTAAAAACAATTTCTGTAAAAACTTACTTTGAAATATTAAAAGTAGAGATTTCAGGGTGGGGGGTTGCTAAAACATTAATTTTTTTTAAGTAATTGAAAAAATTTCAAAATCTCTAGGTTTGACTAGTTATCTTAACACTGGCTAAATTTAACATTTTCATAAACATTTTTCAAGTCTGAACCATATTTAAGAATATCTAATGCTTAAAAAATTGCATTAATAAAAGGTCCTTTTAATTGATTTGAAATATTTGAAGTGAGAGGAGATGGTGTGGTAAGGTGAAAATATTACTGGACTAGGAGGAAGGTGACTTAGATTTTAGATCTGTGTCTTAGAACTCTCCATTTTGGACAAATCACTTGCTATCCATTTCTTCATGAAAAAAACAAGTCATCTCAAAGGCTTTATCTGACTTTTTAACTATGTGATTTGATTTAATTCTGTTTATATAAGGCTCTTACAGTTTGTCAAGCTCAGCACAATCTGTAACTTTTCACCTGCCTTACCATCTTTAGTACCAGTCTTAGGCAAAATTGTGCAAGAGGCGACGTTTATATTTGAAATATCCATCCTCTAGTTTTAGGCCTCCTCTCCCATGTTAGTGTCATCTTGCCTGCCTAACCCTTCCATATGCCCTCATGACTTCATGCAATTTTCTTTTAATTCCCATAACCTCAAGATTTATTGCTGCTATGGATATATCTTCATGAAGGTTTTCTATTAAGTCACATCAGAAATGCCCTACATCTTATTTCCTCAGGGCTCAAAATAATCTGACAAATATCACAATGGGATTTGATCTTGTAGCTAATCTTTAATCCTGATGCTTTGAACATCATCTCTTTACTTCTTGGTCCATTTGTGACTAAGTAGGAATTTTCAAACCTGATATGAAAAGACAGAGCCCTATCCAATAGAAGGAGAATTTAATAAAGGTAATGCTGAAAGAATTCCTTAAGTAATTTACAGCTAGAACTAGCCCTGGTATTTTTCATTGTAATACATTCCCTCTTTTTAATAACTTAAAATCTTACAATGAAAAACACTTAAACATTTAATTCATAAGGTTACTTTTTTGCAGAATTCATTTATTCAACAAATACTTGTTGAGTGCCTACCAGATGCCAACCGCTGCACAAGAAATTGAGGATAGGGGGTATCCCCAAACAAGAAACAATTCCTGTCCTCAGGTAGTGTTAGAGTGGTCTGTAGTATCTTAGGCCCTTGGTGCATGACCAGAGATAAACATAATGCATATTTTAATTTTGCAGAGAAGAGGTTTGGTTTCTAAGATTTCTTCCAATTCTAAAATAATTGTTTTGCTATCATTCCAAAGCAACTGTTTAATCAAGCTATTTTATATAAATCACTTCATTGTTTTAAAGGCATAAACTTGATAGTATTGTTTTTTATTTGGACTAACTGATTCTGTCAGGACAGCTATCATACACATTAAGTTGTATGTCAGATACTAATGTTAAAAATCCCAAAGGTATAATATTCCAGTTTTCTCTTTTAAAATAGACGTTTACAAATTAAAAATTGACTTCTGAAATAGTTTTGTTTACCTTGGTATGAATAAACAGGTGCCTAAACTGATTCACAGGAAAGGAAACTTGTGTAAAAGTAAGATTTCTGAAATGCCACGGTAAACTACAGATTTATGGGACATTGTCTAGGTAGGGGTGTTAAGACTTAACACAGTACCTCCTCTTGTTACTACACAGAGAAAGAAATGGCCATACTTCAGGAACTGCAGTAAATGACTGAGAGGATGTTTAGAACTTTTGAATTTTTGATGTAGCTGGGCATTTTTTTCAAGTAGTGCTAATTATCTTTTATTATGTGAATTTTGAGTGGTTTAACAAAAGGTTTTGTTGAGATTTTAACAAGGGAGAGAATACTAGAAATAACAAATGTTACCTGATTTTTTTTTTTCTTTTATTTGAAGGTCAAAGAAATGTTATCTGATTATTAAAAACAGCCTTAAAAATAAAAATCCTTGTTGAAGTTTTTTTTTTTTAAGTACTAAATTAAATAGTCTTAGGCATTAACATGTTTGTGGAAGAATATAGCAGACATATATAGCATAATTTTAGTGAATATTCCCAGTTAGGAATTCTAGGCTCTATTTTAACTGAGTCACACTGCATAGGAACTTAGAACCTAACTTTTATAGGTTATCAAAACTTTGGCCACCATTGCACAATTTTGTCCTAATATATAGAGAAACTTTGAGGCATGTTAAGTTACAGTTTGCACAAGTTCATCTCATTTGTATTCCAGTGATTTTTGTCTTTTAATCTTTTTCTTCCAAGCAATATATACTTACACTTAGGGTTTATTTTGTAGGCAGTGTAAACTATCTGAAGTTATTTCCATTTATCAAAAAGTAATAATTTCTTGATAATTATAGTGATGTTTTCAAAAACTCAGCAGTTACTTATATTTAGTAATTTGTGTTCATAGAGTAGCATGAATTCTGCATTGAGAAATTGAATAACCTACAAGTTGTAAATTCTGTCAAAATGAAAATGATTTCTTTCTAAAAACATATTTATATTAGTTCTTGAAGAATAATCATAACCAGATTAAAATTTGTGTTTCAGTTTAATAGTTTGAAGTGCCTGTTTGGGATGATGATAGGCGATTTCAGTGAATTTAGGAAAAACAAAGTTATCTATAAAATTGTCAGTTACAGGGGGCTCTACCACCCCTTCCCCCCTCAGCTAATTGGGTTACAATAATGCTTTATCCGAAAGTTTCCAATTCCACTGTCTTGTGTTTTCATGTTGAAAATACTTTTGCATTTTTTCTTTGAGTGCCAATTTCTTACTAGTACTATTTCTTAATGTAACATGTTTACCTGGAATGTATTTTAACTATTTTTGTATAGTGTAAACTGAAACATGCACATTTTGTACATTGTGCTTTTTTTTGTGGGACATATGCAGTGTGATCCAGTTGTTTTCCATCATTTGGTTGCGCTGACCTAGGAATGTTGGTCATAATCAAACATTTAAAATTGACCACTCTTTTAATTAAAATTAACTTTTAAATGTTTATAGGAGTATGTGCTGTGAAGTGATCTGAAATTTGTAATATTTTTGTCATGAACTGTACTGCTCCTAATTATTGTAATGTAATAAAAATAGTTATGGTGACTATGATAGTGTGTTATTTCTTGATGAAAATTTGAAACATCGCCTCAGTATTGATATGGAATTCTGTATTAGTTATAGACACTGTAGTATACCAGTGAATCTTTATTGCAACATAATTATAAGTTAGAAATATTCTTTATTTATAAAAGGCATTGTGAATATTATATAAAGGCTTAAGTGGTTGCTTGAACTTAAAGCCATATTAGGGTTAGGTTCCTTGCCTCATCATTTCATTTATTAGTAGATAGCAAAACATCTGCCTTTATGACATAAGAATATAGAACATGATTACTTTTTTTATCAAAGAAGGTAATGCACAGTAGGTGACATAAAGCCCAAAAGTAGCCAGCAGCAAAATAAATAATGGAAATAACTAAGTGGTATTAATGCTAGTCACCAGCAGGCTATTTCAAGGTTAAAAAGTAATCTGATCCATAAATACTATGATTTCTCTAACTATACTTAAATCATTACCAATCAATCAATACCAGTACTATTTGTTTTGTAGTGAATTTTGAACATGTTGCTATTAATGCACCAAACTGGGTCAAAAATAAGGTAACTTTCTCAAAAGTTGAGGAATAAATGTGTAAGAAATTATTTTACTTATTAAATGTATATATAGTTAATGACATTTTTTTGTCAGTAAAATGGAGAAATGGGCTAAGAGTAATTAGCTTAAATCCATGTAAGTTAGAAAACGTAAGTGTATTTGCAATCAAAATTGGGTACTCAATTTATAATTGGCAGTATAGCTAAATTGCTATTGTAGTATAAAAATTGAGTATAAAGCATTGCATTGATAAAGCTTTCCATATGAAGAGAAGTTGAAACCTATTAATTTTAGTTCATTAGGCCAGCTCAGGTATTTTTTACACACCATATATATTTTACCATTTTAAATTAGAATTATTTTATAGTACTTGGTATACATAAACATGTGGCACTGATTTTCAGTTTTATAGTAGTAATAATCAGTTAGTTTTGTTGATATCAGAATAATAGCGTTGTTTCATAGCTCTGTATTTCCTAAGAAAGTATAAGGCTTCTAGCTCTTTCATTACAAATTCACCACGTCGAATAAGTTCTTTTATCTTCTCTGGGTCCTTCACATCTTTATTTTTAAGGAAAACATTCCTCAAACGCCTTTTAAAATAGTCTGCTCCTTTTGGATATTCTCGTCCAAGATACAGCAGCTGAAAGAAAGATTATATATTTCTAAAGAATCCATGTTATATACAGTAATCTCCCTGCTATCTGGCACCCATGGGGACTGGTAGACTCTGGATAAATGTATTTTCTGGGTGCTTCAGAGTTAACTGTGAAAAATAGGCCTAATTTTATACCCTGTAGTACACTATACCATACCATAACTCTGTGTTAACTTGATATTAACATCGAAATTCACTAATTAAAAGCAAATTGAGACAAAGACAAACCACTTACTGTAACACAGTTTTACTGTATTATAACAGCTTTGTAAATTCAGTGTGAAATTTTAAATGACAGTCAATACATTTTTCAACTTCACTACCTTAAAGCTGTTATGGAGAATACATGGGAACCAGGGAGTGATGGACAAAGTGTCAGTACCAATGGCAGGGCACATCAAGTTTAAGAAACTTAGGATTTTTTGGCCTGTTGTGTGCTGGTTTGCAGGAGGGTCCCAATTGCTTGAGTTCCAGATAAGGGGGAGTTGACTGTAATATATTTTAAAATTGGCAACATACTTACATTTTTATAAAGATTCAATACTTCTCCTCTTAAAGAATTGGCCATTTTCATTTATCATGGAAATTATCCACTTTTATAAATAACATGCCTAAAGAAAAGGAAAATTTTTTGCAAATAACTGTATTGCTGTCTTAAATAATCTAAGAGAAAATATTTTACATATTGGGTATATTTATTGAGTACTTTAATGTCCCAGGTATGAGAATACAGTATGAATGTGTCAGATAAGATAATTCTGTTACAGAACCTTTTATATAGGAGATATAATAAGCAAAGATAATTAGGAATTGTGAGAAGTCTTATGAAGGGATCAGGATAATGAGAGAGAGAAAATGGATTTTCACAGTTAGATACATAGATGTACCTTCTTTTATATAACAGTGGAATGAGTTAGAACTATATTTGAATCCCAGTTTCATAATGTAGATTACTTAACTCCATTCAGCCTGAAATTTCCTCACTAAAAGGAGATTGTATTTACCCTGCTCTCAAGGCAAGGCCAGATCGGTCTGAAAGACACTGAGAAGAACCCTGATCAAACCTAGAAGGAAGCTTGTCCAAAGGAAGGGGGGGTTCAAAACTAGAAAAAAACTGTAGGTCAAGCAGTGGTAGATGGGCAGTAAGACTGGCACTGTTATAAGAATGCCCATAAGGAGCAGGTGACGTCCAGTGGGATAGATTGTGTTTCTTCATGTCTAATTTTTTAGTGCTACCACAGAGAAGGTGGCTCCTTAAAGGCATTGTGACAGCCTAGCCAAGGAAATAATCATTACTTGTTATAGTTACGGGGATAAAATCATAAATTCCTACCTAATACTGCATCCTGTCAGGTAGACGTAATTCTGACTTGTTTTATTATGTTAATTTTCATAAAGTGATTAAAGTGGTGTTTGCCAAGATTGTCCACTGCAGAATTCTTTCTTCAGGAACCTAGTTCTTTCGATAGAAAAATAGTGTTTACAAACTACAGCCTGGAACCAAGATCTGAGTGATAGAAATGCTCATTACTATGAGATTGTCACTGTTCCCAGGTCTTCTAAGTGGACAAGGCTACAAGTATATATACCGTATGGATAGATGTAAGTGTAGTCTGTGTGTATATTTATTTTCATATTAATCTCTGCATGGAGATTTGGAGTATGTAACCAAATTGCTGTTGCTGTCACCGCTCAGCACACACACTCGGAGTTCTGCCACCATCCCACTTATCCTCTTCTTGCCAGGCCCCTTAACCTATCCCTCATGGTCTCAGACAACTTAGGGTGCACCACAACCAACCCCCTCCTGGAAAAATCTCACCCAGTTCGGACTCCTAACAACTTCTGCCATCGCCTCCTCCCCCCTAAAATGCCTTCCTCATCTCATGGTAGTCAGCTGTTAGGGACAACCCCCACATCAAGACCCTCTTCCCATTTGGGTTCCGGTAACCCTTGATAGGCTACTGTCTTACCAACCTTTTGTCTCACCTGTTCCCTAGATGCCTACTTTGCTCAGCCCCACTTAAGGCTTTTGGACTGAATCACTCTATAGGGCAAGCAGGAGGTAATTTAGATTTTTAAAACAACCCTGTAGGTCAGTTTTAAGGGTTATTTTATAGTTAACTGGCAGAAAAATACAGATTAAAATTATAGTAACTATTACATTTTAAAAATTGTGTTTATTTTGGTTTAGCCTTAAATTATACTAGTATAGATTTTCACTGTGACTTTACCTGCCCCCCCCCCACCTTTTGGCATTTAGACAAAATTTACATCTTTGACAATTTAAAAGGCAGTGTGTTTAATGTATTTCGTCTTTTAATTATATATTAAAATACTGCACAAAATATGTACAAATTAAAGAACATAAAACATACATGTGGATACCATCATTCAAGTTATGAAACAAAATTACAAGTTTTAGAGGGGCCAGGCATAGTGGCTCACATCTTTAATCCTAGTGTTTGGGGAAGCCAAAGCAGGAGGCAATTCTTTGAGACCAGCGTGGATAACAGTAACACCCCCAACTCTACTAAATACATAGATACATATATACATACATTCATACATATGTAAAAATTAGCCAGGTGTGGTGGCAGATGCCTATAATCCTAGCTACTCAGAGACTAAGGTGGGAGGACTGCTTAAGCCTAGGAGTTCAAGATTACATTGAGCCATGATCAGGCCACTGTACTTCAGCCTGGGTGACAGAATGAGACCCTGTCTCTATAAAAAGCCAAAAAGTTTTAAAAAAAAATTTTTTTAGGGCAGCACCTGTGGCTCAAGGAGTAGGGCACTGGCTCCATATACCAGTGGTGGTGGGTTCAAACCCAGCCCCAGCCAAAAACTGCAAAAGAAAAAAATAAGTCTTATAAAGTCCCCAGGCCCCACCCCAGATTGCATCTCCGTGTTCAACTCTATGAAGATAACCATTTAGGACTTCTAATTCATTTGCTTTATAGTTACCCATGAACATTACCCTAAAAAGCCTATTTAGTTTTGACAATCTAAGTGGCAAGAATGCAGCGGGTATGTGAAAACCAACAGTCCTAGTCTGGCTTTACCTTCTTAGCAATGTCATGAGTGAACACTGGGTCTTCCACAACTGAAGCAAGTGGAAAGACATGAATGTAGAACGTAGATATTTGATTTCTGGCCACTATATGCAAGAAGAGGGGAAGAGGACGACTATTTCGTGTTTTATCCTCAAAGCCCAACATCAGCTTTCAGAAATAAGTGGCAACAGAAGGGTGTAAAAATGAGTGTCCTCAGTTGGTCCAGTCAGCATGGCACAGAAGATAGCAGGAATTTTACTACCACACTATCAAGACAAGGAGAATACTGACTATGAATCTGAGCCAGGCTTCCCCGGGCACAATGTCCTCAGGTAGCAGAGATCTTGGTGGTAAAAGCCATAAATGTGAATCATCCTGCTTTATTTGGACTGGCTGCTTTCTGTATCAAGGGCTACACTGTTGTGCTGGGATCTTGTTTAAACATCCTTCTAGAGATTCTTTTTACCTCTCTCCTGTGTTGGTTACCCTACCTTTAATATTCCAAGTGTTCCATTTTTCTGGTTTTTGTTTTGGTAAAGCATGTCCTATAGCTTCTTGAAAAGGGTACACGAAAGGCAAATGAGACCTTGGATGCCTAAAAATGGCTGGCTACCTTGTATTTGTTTTATAGTCTAGCTGAGTATAGAAGTCTAAGCCAGAAATAATTTTTTTCAACATTTTGAAGCAGTTGCTCATCTAATTTTGCTTCTAGCATTGCAATTAAGTTCAAGAGTTTGAATAAGTGATCCTTTGTATTTTTCCCCCTCAGAAATTTAAAGAATCTTCTTTATGAAGACTTTGAAATTTTATAGTGATATATTGATGTGGGCTTATTTTCATCCACTGTGCCATATATTAAATTGGCCCTTACAATTTGGACCCTCATTTCCTTTAATGGGGGGGGATTAAGTTATTTCATTCATGTTTCTTCATAGCAAAGTATAAGAAAAAATATTCTTTAAAAGATAAATTATTTAAACTATTTCATTCATGATTTCCCATTCCTCCCCTATTTTTTTTCCTTCCTGAAACTCTTGTTAACTGGATGTTTGAACTTCTAAGCATGTCCTCTTTTTTTCCATTATAATTTTTCATTTCTTTGTTTTCTTAATTTTATGGGGAATTTTATCTTCATCTACCAAGTTTTCTATTGAATTTCTTATGATTTTTTTCATTATCCTGTTCTTGATGTAAGGACATAAATACAGATGATTTTGCAATTGTCTGATACATGCATTCCTGAGAAACCTTCCACCTTGCAAAAAATGTGTTAAAAATAACTGAACTTACGGTGAAAATAGATTTGGGGCAGACTACTCAAATCTTACATAACTATAATAAGAGCACTAGCAAAAATATGGACCACATAGATCGCTCTCCACATAAAGACTACTACAGAGACGTTTAACATGTTACAAAACAATAGAATATCCTGGGAATGGGAGTAAGGGTTGTATTCCAGGAAGGAACTAAAGATGCATAAGGCAATCTTTGGGGATGCTGGCTATGTTTATTATCTTGACTGTAGCCATGACTTCATAGATGTATGTATGTCAAATACATTGAATTATATTTTATGTCATTCCCACCTCAGTAAAACTTAAAAAATAATAGAAATGCTGGCAAAAGTCTAAAAGCAGGGCTAGGAGACAATGAAATAAATACACAAAGACGTAGAGATAAGGCTGCCAGTTAGTGGGTAGAATAGGTAGTTCAGTCTCCCATCAGCCAACGGCTGGGTAAAACTTGGGGAACATGCCTCTCGGAAGAGGGAGCCCTGGGTTTAAGTACTTATTTTAAAATTAAAAAAAAAAACAAAACCTGAAAGGTACCTGCTGGCAGTATAGCAGCTAAGCACAGATCTTTATACATTTCTTGATGAAGTTCATAAATGTACTTTTCTGGCTCTTCTTAGAAAAAAAATCACATAGGAACAACATTATTTCCACATTAATACTTGTAAAATTCCCCTATTTAGTAGTAGTTGATGAGCTAATTCACATAACTAGGATACCCTTTTTTACACTATAAAAAAAAGGTTCATTAACTTTCTTGAAATTGTCTTTACTTCAAATTCCTTTTTTCCTACTTGCTTTTGTCTCTGTCACTTCTGAGCTTTCTTCTAAAGAACAAAAAATCTTTTTAGATAAGCATACATGGGTGAAGCTTAGAGACTCTGAGTTTCACTTAGGGTGCTCTGAATGGGAACTTAGAAACCTCTGATGTCACTATCTTGAATTGCTTATGTTGGGGTGGTCAATTCCCCAAAGCAGTCTTCCAATCTTCTGAGGATTCGCCTATTAGACACTAAGTGGAAGCAGAATACCTGCCTTGTCTTTAGCATTACATGTACCTGTTTTCATCATGCTCTGCATACACTTCAGGATGCTTGAGAATGTCCTAGGGACTAGTATTACTTTGTCCAGAAATACACCTTCAGTCTTCTCTGAGGTGAGAGGTGCAGTTACTTAGAGGTGCTTCTCAAATAGCTTTCATATAGTCCTCATTTACTTCATTATTCATTACCAATACCAGGCCTCGTTTCAGTGCCTTTTCAGAATTCTGCAGCCAGACCTTGTGGCCTGTGCCTGTAATCCTAGTGCTCTGGGAGGCCGAGGTGGGTGGATTGCCTGAGCTCAGAAGTTGGAGACTAGCCTGAACAAGAGCAAGAGCCTGTCTTTACTAAGAAATATAAAAACTAGCCAGGCATCATGGCAGGTACCTGTAGTCCCAGCTACTTGGGAGGCTGAGGCAAGAAGATTGCTCAAACCCAGGAGTTTGAGGTTGCCATGAGCTATGATGCCATTGCACTCTATTTAAGGACAGAGTGAAACTGTCTCCAAAAAAAAAAAAAAAAATTGCAGTATAAAATGGGTTTTTCTTGTGTGCTAAATCATACTCATTCATGTATTCCAGTTTCTAAAGATTTATTGCTGTCATCTCCTCTCCCATTTTTCCAATTTATTAAAGATTTAGTGACGTTTTGGAAGGGAATGTAACCAGATCAGTGTACTTGAACTTTTGTGGAGGGGAGAGAGTCTTTCCAGTGTGATTTAGTTTTATTAAAGAATGATTAAGAACCATGTATTTTTCAAAGGATTCAAAATTAAATCTACATACATGTAAGTCAATAGCAAGTTATAGATTCTCTAACTCCTGACAAAGAGCTTCAATTAATTAAATAGCTTCATTTAATTCACAATTTGTAATCTGTGAAAGCTTTTAGGAACCTGACTTAGGTTGTTCTTTTTAGTTGTTGACCTTTTTACAAATTATGATAATAAAAGATTTGCCTAGCAAAAATGTAGCTAGTGTGGCTAAGGTAAATTTCTCCAGTTCTTTGTTACGTTAATTTATATGAACTAACGTAGTCTGTCTTTACTATTATACAGTTGATCTTCAGGCATTTAGGCTTATTTTAGCCATTGAGAAAAATAGGGCTTGCAATTTAGTGAATGAACCATTTGTAGCAGGAACCTGGGGCTGCTCCTGAATCCTGCACAAAGTAATGTAAGTTACTGTAGTAAGTAAAGAGCCAAAGGAGTTAAGGATTAAGACAAGTACCCCAATATTCTGAGAATTTAGTTGTGTGTGTGGTAGGTGGGAGGAGGATGCAGTCTCCACTGACAGCTTTGTCTCCCAGTGAGTGTATGCTAAAGAGTTTACACTTAACCAGCTTTAGTTCAGGGTTAGCAGAGAATTGTACATTTTTATTTTTAGAGACAGAGCCTCAAGCTGTCCCCCTGGGTAGAGTGCTGTGGCATCACAGCTCACAGCAACCTCCAACTCCTGGGCTCAAGCGAGTCTCCTGCCTCAGCCTCCCAAGTAGCTGGGACCACAGGCGCCCACCACAACGCCTGGCTATTTTGGGTTGCAGCTGTCATTGTTGTTTGGCGGGCCCTGGCTGGATTCAAACCCTCCACCTTATGTATATGTGGCTGGTGCCTTAGCCACTTGAGCCACAGGCGCCGAGCCAAGAACTGTATTTTTACTAGGAGTTATGGAGCTCAAAGTTGTTGTTCACTCTTCCCCATGAAGTTCAGATAGCAGTAAAAGCCGAAGGACAACTGGCAAAATGTGACTTGCCATCTGGTTCAAATAGACTTGACTCAAATGACAGGTGAAGCACATTTCCCCAAACTAGAAAGCCTAGAAAGTTTCAGACAGAACGGTAGTCCAACATGCTTGTCAGCACCAGAGGGTATGGAATCAGAGGAGGGGGGGGGGGATATCTTGCTCTTTCATGCAGTTTAGCCTAGGCCTAGAAACCAGATTATCAAATGAATTGAAAGGAGATGTTCAGAAGGGGCAAGAATTATACCTGTTTGAAGGTAAAGAAGAAAGAATAGTAAACAGACCTTACCTTTTAAGCACCTTGTACAAGGAGTACTAAAAAAAAGAACGAAGGTCTTTGATGTTATCCCCTACAACACAGTGACCCCCGAGAACACAGTCCAGTGTCTTGGAAACTAACATATCCATACCAATTTCTCACTATTAGAGAGGTTGATAAAGTGAGAGTTTGAGTAAATCCTCTCTTCTAAAGGTATTTAGAAGGTAACGGGATCATTGTAACACCTCCTTACTCCCATCAATCCCAGTTTGAGTTGCCTGTCGTTTTTTTTTTTTTTTTTAATCATGAAACATTAGTTGTGTTGAAAAACTGAAAAGTTAACTTCCCAAATGATAGCCACAGTAAATTGAATTAGAACTCTATAATGAAATTAGTGTTAAGATATTTTTATATTCCTACCAGGATTTGGAGATGGTATGTCATAGCCATCACATTGATTTCTTTTATAATGGGGATAACACTTTAACCCACAAAGACTAGCTCGCTATTACTATTTATGAATAATACAGTCAATGACGTTAGAAGAAAAGCATTACAAAATTAGAATTCAGAGATGAGAAATGGTGCTAGTAATTTTAAAGTATTTCCTAAAGTCATTACAAAATTCAGTTGGCCTTAACAGTAAAAAGGGCCTCACTTGATTTCCTCTAGTTTTCCTGTTAGTCCAAGTGCGTCCTGTGGGGAGGAGACTGAAATTCTGAAGGTTGAGCTACTGTTGCGTATAATTAGTCTGTGACCTTGGGCTGAGTCTTCTGGACCTCACTGATCTTAATTTACACGGAACATTTTACCCAGGAATTGCTTCAAATCATTTCCAGTTCTTGTTTACGACACTCTCAGGGAAAAGGGCATACATGTTGCACAGAGAGTAAACAACGAACAAGAAGAATCCGAAGGTCATGAATCATAAAATAACCACCCCTCTTAGGACCAACTTATTTACGTCTTTAAATTGCCAAATGAGCTCTCTGCCTCTGCTGGCCTAAACCGTGCTGGGCTATGTAGCCCAACCGGCTGTCAATCTCTTGACCCAGTCGCATGGCAGCTCCCTTCCTTCTCCAAATGCTCACAGACAACTCGCCCCAACACTTTAGGAAAACAATGAGGGCCAGAGGCTGTCCAGGTCAGAAGACGCTGAGAATCCTCTTCTAAACCCCCTCTCGTCCATCACACACATCCAAAAGCACACGCAGCGGTCCTCGCCCAGAGCATACGCACCACCTCCGGACCCCAGCCTACAGAAAGCAAAACAAAACGCCCCGGCGGCTGCACTCACTCACTTTCCGGCGCGCCGCAGCCGTAAAAGCAGACGACCGCTTGGACTCCTGGGCCAGTCCACCGCGGAGGTGGGCGGGGCTGGGGAAACCCAGTCAGCGAAGGGGGCGGGGCGCCGACCGGAAGCGCTCTCGTGCGACTGCGCAGATCCGTGCGGGCGCGTCCGCGCTGTTTCCCCTCACCACCTCCCCGGAGTGCAAGTGGGCGAGGCTTGTCGTCCTGACAACTCCGGAGCGTTAGTCCACACGGCTGTACTCTGACTTTGCTGACTGCGGAGGTCTTGCTTGCCGCCTCATGGTGAGAAGAGAAAATGAGGGAGATGGGCGAGGGTTGATTCCGCTTCACTGATGTTAAATAATGCAGTTAGGGCCCGTCATAGTTCAGAGAGGAGCAGGTCAGTTTAGGAAAGAGCTCGTACTCCGGGGAAGGTCGGCCCTCCTCACCAGTGGCCGCCTGCTGTGTGTCCGGCGGCAGGTGGGATCCCAAACTAATTTCTGCAAATGGGAGATGGCCAAAGCGGTCACATGGTATCCTAATCTCGCATGTTGCTAAACTTGAAAATGGGTCCCAACCTAGCAACTTTTAATAATGATAGACCTTCGCACTGAGTTGCTCTTTTACTGCAACTTGGCAGATTCTTAGATCTCATCAGTTAAAAGCAGGTGCGATTTACTCTGCTTTCAAAAGTTAGTTTATATGGCCTTTTGTGAGAATATTAATTGTGATTTAAGGTACTCACACTGCTTCTTGTTTTGTTTCCTGCACTCCTCACTTAACCACGTTTTCACCAGGGAGACAGGCCAACGTGTATAAGATTATTTCTGGTCTCATTTTCTGAAATATGATTTCCACTAAGACACTTTCTGTGATTAAAACCAGAGGAGTGGAGAATGTAATTACTCAGTTAATTATTTATTTCATTAATTATGGGGAAATATCAAATGCAGTGTTTGTACTTGGCACGGGGCTGGGAGCCAAAGATACAAAGATGAATATGACAACCCTGATACGGGAGACAGATTTTAAAAATTAATTACAATACGGCTTTTTAAAAGCAACCATTGAAATTTCTAAAATGGGGTAACACAAAGTTGGAAATGATGAAATTGCAGGGAGGGAGACAAGAGAAGGATAGAATGGTGCTTCTCAATCTGTTTTAAGATACACACGAGTCTGCCACAAGTGATAGGATGAAATAGGGAATGGAGAGCATGCCTGGCAGAATGAAAGTGGACCTGAAGCAAGTTTTAAACTGATAAAAATTGGGGCAAGTATAAGCACTTGTTATTACTTCCATGTGGGCACTCAGTTTCTTCTCATTTGTTCCTTCGAAATGTGGACCATGGAACATTTACTTCTAACACACTCGAGGTACTTGTTAAAAGTCCATATTCCAAGAACCCACTCAAGTCCAGGTGAACTGTGTTGGCTTCCTAGGGCTGTCAAGTAAAGATGTGCCACAGTATTATCAATCTAATATGCAGAAAGATTATTTCTTACCAGATCATTCCCACATCTGCAAATATGACATTAACACCGATAATTTGTCAATGATTAACTGAGTTCTTGGGAATTCTTTCAAAATGGTGCCTTCTTGATTTGTACTCTGTTTTGTAACAGGTTATTTCATTAAACATGGATTATTGATTGTCCTAAGAAATAGGGTAACTCATAAAATCAACTCATAAAACTCATCAACTCATAAAAAATGTTTCAGAGGGACCTTACCTAATGTGCATCATGCAATGGTACATTTCAAAACTATTAAAAAAAGAGTATAATTGTGATGGATGTGTTAATCAGTTCAATGTAAGCATTTCACATTGTATATCAAATCAGTACACTGAACCCCATAAGTGCATCAGTGTACACAGTTATGATTTAATAAAAACAAAACAAAACAATTTAAAAAATGCTTCAGTAGGTAAACCATTTTGGTTTTTCCTATACTTCCTCGTAATTTTGTCTGAATTCTTTTTTTAAAAAGATTTTTATTTGGGGATAATTTTAGATTTTCAGAAAAGATTCAAATATGGTACAGAGAGTTCCCTTATGTCCTTTATACAGCTTCTCCTTAATTTTAACTTCTTACACAATCATGATACTTTTGTTGTAAGTATCTGAATTCCCTTTGAAATTTATGAATTCTTTTGTTTTCCAACTTTTAGGGTCCCAAAGCAAAAAAGGTATGTAGAATTTTTCTCATAATAGTTACATAAGGATTTAGATTGTATGAACAAAATTTTTATAAGATTTTTAAATAGCTTTCTGGTTAATTTTAGCTCCTCAAGTTTACTTACTGTTTAGATATTAATTAATGCTGCTTAAATCATGGAATAATTCTTTGCAAAAATAGGATATTTTTCAAATTTGACCTAAAAAGATACTTCTGGTTTCAGAAAGATTGTTTAAAATAGTCTTTAATTTTTAATTTTATATAGATTTGAAGCTTTTTTGTTGCTTCTGCTCTAGAAAATGTTGAATTAGGAACGTTTTCTTCATTATAAACACATAAATATTTAGTTATCGTACCTGCTGTGACTGTTAAACATGCACCCTAAGGTAAAATGACTTTAAATGGGTTGCAGGGTAACACATAATTATTTGTTTGTACTGTGTAGAAATTTGAGTTCAGTAAGGAATGTACTGTTCTAAATGTCCCTGTCTCTCTACTTTGAGGCAGAGATTATAATCTCTTGATTGGCAGGCCAGATTTAGCCTGCAGACATAATTTATTTGACCTGAAAATTTTTTTTTGCTGTTTTGTTTGTTTGTTTGTTTGTTTCAGGTTCATTGAGGGTACAAAGAATTAGGTTACAGTGATTGCATTTGTTAGGTAATTGTAACTAACAATTTTTCCCTTTGTAATTGTGTCCTGCACCCAAGAGGTGTGCCATATACCATAATCTACCACCCCCCATCCTTCTCCCCTCTCCTACCTCCTTCATTCCCCTACCCTCTGCCTTGTATTAGCTCATCTACTGCCTTCATATTAGAATTGAGTATGTTGGATTCTTGCTTCTCCATTCTTTTGATACTTTACTAAGAAGAATGTGTTCCAGCTCCATCCAGGTTAATACAAAAGATGTAAAGTCTCCATCTTTTTTAAAGGCTGAATAGTATTCCATGATATACATATACCACAGCTTGTCAATCCATTCCTGGGTTGGTGGGCATTTAGGTTGTTTCCACAATTCAGCGATTGTAAGTTGAGCTGCGGTAAACAGTCTAGTGCAAATGTCCTTATGATAAAATGATTTTCTTTTCTTCTGGGTAGATGCTTAGTAGATGCAGGATCAAATGGCAGGTCTAATTTGAGTTCTTTGAGGATTCTCCGTAATTCCTTCCACTGAACTTTTTTTTTTATAATTTTAAAATCAGTTACCAAACTATTTTCACTGAAAAATCTGATTTGCAATTATTCTTTAAAAAATTGGAAACCTGATAACATTGGCCTCTATGGTACTGTGAGGCAACATTTGGAGAGGTTGAATAGCAGCTACCCCTTTTAGGAATATAAAAAGTCTTCGGTTTGTCATATTCCTGACCATGACCACACCCCCTTACTTTATTTACTTGCCTGGTTCCAACAGGGATTTGTGTCTATTAATGCCTGCTTCACATCACATCTCTGTAAAATTTCCCATCATTCTCGTTTGCAGAATCAGGTATAATCTGTGTTCTCATATCATGTGCTTCTTGCAACCTTTATTTTATTGTAATTGTAACTTAGTTGTTCATGGTCAGGAGTATGTCATTTTTATGTTCATAACATTTAACACAGTGTCTATGTGGCACATGGTAGAAATTCAGTCAATATTCATTGAATGGATATGTAAAACCTCATTTGATCTACCACTACTTAAAAACACTTGGACTCTTGACTGTTTTTTGTTTTTGTTTTTGCAATTTTTTTTTTTGGCCGGGGCTGGGTTTAAACCCGCCACCTCTGGCATATGGGGCCAGTGCCCTACTCCTTTGAGCCACAGGCACCACCCTGGACTCTTGACTGTTTGTTTAAAAGAAATGATTTTGCCAGGTGAAGTGGCTCATACCTGTAATCTTAGTACTCTGGGAGGCTGAGGCAGGAGTATCACTTGAGCTCAGGAGTTTGAGACCAGCTGGAGCAAGAGAAAGACCTTGTCTCTACAAAAAGAGTCCCAGCCACAGAGGAGGCTAAAGCAGGAGAATTGCTTAAACCTGGGAGTTGGAGGTTGCAGTGAACTATGATGATGCCATTACACTCTACCCAGAGTGACAGAGTGAGACTGTCTCAGAAGTAAAAAAGAAAGAAATGAATATTTATATAAATGTGTATTCAACATTTATACAGGTAAACAACTTCTTTAAAAAATGCTGTTGACTAAGAGAGTGCCTTTTCTCAGTCATGTGTACCCATTACCAACCTGATACTCTTTTAGGAACTGTGGATAAAATGTGTGAAGGTTTATTCTTGTGGAGGGAATATTCTTTTTTTCCTTTTCTTTCTTTCTTTTTTCTTTTTCTTTTTCTTTTCTTTTCTTTTCTTTTCTTTTCTTTTTTTTTTTTTTTTTGAGGTAATGTCTCACTGTGTTGCCCAGGCTACCGTGCTCTGGCATCAGCCTAACTAACAGCAACCACTTCCTCAAGTGGTTGCTGTGATCCTGACCATGACCATGACTACACCCCCTTACTTTATTTACCTGCCTGGTTCCAAAAGGGATTTGGGTTCAAGTGATCTTCCTGCCTCAGCCTCCTGAGTAGCTGGGACTATAGGTACCCATCACAATGCCCAGTTAACTTTTCTACTTTTAGTAGGATCTCACTTGTGTTCAGGCTGATCTCCAACTCCTGAGCTCAAGCAGTCGTCCCGCCTCAGCCTCCCACAGTGCTAGGATTATAGATGGGAGCTACGACACCAAGCTGGGGGAAGCCTTCCAAAAGGCTCTATGTGCCTGTGGAGTCATTTATTGGTTTGGGTAAACTTTCATTTTCTGCTTTAGACTGTGAAGGCTTAGAGGCATTGTTTTAAATCTGAAAATTTATTATAAATTACTTTGATGCTTCATCATGTATGTCTGGGTGCTGAATGAATGCTTTTGGGTTATCACGTTTATAGTGTTGTTTATTTGATCTCAGATGATGAGATGCTGCCTGTGAAATTTGAAACCAAACCCGGGGAAGAAATCACTTACTTTTAAATTATTCCATTTGTAAAGACTGATATTTGGGGATGAGGCAAGTCTGTAAGGGGAATTTATGGTACAGTTAGGAAAACACTGGAAGATATATTTTATTCTTTCTGACTTGTAGAAGTCTTTTTAAGGAAAACTAATAAACAGTACAAAATCAAAATACCATTAAAAGTGGAAAATTTTCTCCCATCTGATTTGCCTTCTTAGAACCACTGCATATCTTATTAAAAATTTTCTAAACATTAAAGACTGCGCACACAGAGACCCCTTTTCCCCCATCTATGGGAGCATTCTGCACCTTCTATTTTTCATTGTAATATTTTATTTTATTCCAGAGTACTCATCTTTTTACATTTTAACATTAGTAAAATTGAGATGTGTCTTATAAGAGCTAGCATCTGACAGTCATTGCAGACCGGGGTTGACCTCTCCTTCCTCCACAGAGGATATTTGCTTCTCTTAAGTCACTCAAGCTCATTTCTAACTTGGTACGACTTTAAATTAAATTCTCTGCTTGAAGATTTCGGACCACACTAATGGTATGAGTCAAACCACAAATCCATGTGTATTGGCTTGTGGTTTAAATTCTTAGGAGAAATTTTTTCTTCCTTCTATCCAGTGTCAGGGTGGAGGTCTGTATCCACTGTAGGAATGCAGGTGTAAAAGCTGTAGGGCCCATTAGGGAATTTGGGCATTTCTCTGCTGTGGTTCATTTGTCTTTACCTACATCCAGCTTTATATTGGGATTGCCTTCAGACTGCCATCTTGGACATTCTTTCTTTGGGGGGCTAGTTATAAAATTACATCTTACATCTTAGATTGAAAGGAATAAGTATATCTTGGGGATCTTTTTGTTATGGTACGTTGAGATTACCCCACTCCTTTTCATATCGGCATCATATCCCATTAGAAGTATATACCATGGTTTAAGCATTGGAAACACAGAAGAATACGTCATGCATTCAGTGATGTTCACGGCATTAAGTGAGCAGCAGCAAGACAAAGTCCTTGCCTTCATGAAGCTTACATTTTATATGTGGGTGAGAGAGAGAGTGGGGAAATAAATAGTATAATTTCAGATAGCTTTGAATATGTAGAAACCAAGTGAGAGGTCAGTGAGGAACGTGGCAAGAGGGGATAGTGGTGATGCTGCTTCATAGAATGATTAAGGAAGTAAAATTTGAGAAGAGACTTGGATGAAGCAAGGAGATAAGTCAGTAACTACTCGGGGGCAGGAAGGGAATGATCATTCTAAGTAGGAGAGACAGCGGTTGCAAAGATTTATAGTTGGGAGTGACGTTGGTGAGAATGCCAGTGTGGTGAGAATAGAGTGAGGTAGACAATGAATGAGAAAATGTAGAGGGGAAGGGGAGTTGGGAGGAGAAAGTGGTAGTCGGTGGGTAAGCAGGAGCAGCATGTAGTTCACGGCCAAGCAGGCCATGGGGGATTGTTTGGATTTTTATTCTAAGGTGGAGAGTGGGGGAAATCTTAAGCAGAATGACATGATCTGATTTATATTTTTAAAGGATCAGTCTGACTGCCATGTGGCAGATTCACTGTAGGAATGCAAGAGTAAAAGTTGCAGGACCCATCAGGGAAGTTACTGTAGTGTCTAGATCAGAAGTCTTCACCTACTTCTGGAAGAAAAGTGTGCTCTCAGAGGTACACAAAGATCTAAGAATATAAGGACACAGGTAGTTTTATGCAAATAAATAGCAGCTTAGATGAACACTATTCAGGTGACAGGCACACTAACTGACTTAAGCATCGTAAAAGCTATCCTTGGGCAAGAACACTTGTACCCCTTAATATTTTGACAAATATTAAATAAAAGACAAAAGGCAGTTTTAGAAATAAAGAGGGTCATTTTGTAATGATAAAGATTTGATTAGCTGATAAAATACAATTTTAAATTTGGATACATCTAATTATAAAATCTTGAAATACGAATATCTGACAATTAAGCTTGTGAACTCATCCTAGAAAAAGTGCTGCATACCTCATTGCTGGATATCACAACGGTCACCACAGAAGTACGCCCCTTGGGAAGCTATGCACCGACGGGCGTGCCTAGTCTACCCTTCAGATGAGTTTTGGAACTCTTTTTCTGGAATGACCATCAGTGCTGTCATTGTATGAGGTCTAACAATTAAGTTCACAAACTTGCCAAATGTGCTCAACTTGGCAGCACTGTACAAACAAATTGGTAAGATTTTATAACCATGGTATGTCAGTGTCTTATAGCTCTATTTGTGTTGACATGTGGTGGTGACAGTATCTTGCTGAGTGGTGTTTATTATATAAATATATATTTTTTGGATGGGAGGCAGAGTCTCACTATGTTGCCTTTGGTAGAGTGCCATGGTGTCATAGCTCAGAGATTCTCTTGCCTCAGCCTCCCAAGTAGCTGGGACTATAGGTGCCCGCTACAACGCCCTGCTATTTTGTTGTTGTTGTTGCAGTTGTCATTGTTTAGCTGGCCCAGGCGTGTTTCAAACCCTCCAGCCTCAGTGTTTGTGGCTGGCGCCGTAACCACTGTGCTACGGGCACTGAACTGTGGTGTTTATTATTGTTGTTGCATGTTTTTGTGTGCTGTACGATGACAGCTCTGATGGTTGTTCTGGAAAAGAGTCGCAGAATTGATTTGAAGGGTGGACTAGGTGCATGGCTTCCCAAAGGGAGTCCTTCAAAGGTGACCATAGTGATATTCAGCAACAAGGTATGTAGCACCTTTTCTATGATTAGTGCATGAACTTAATTGTCTGAACTCATATACAGTGCACAAACTGAGAGACCTATGAGGAGAAATAGACAAGTCCACAATCACATTGTAAGATTTCCTCTTTCAATAATTACTGTAACAAGCATAAAAAATCAGTAAGAATTTAGATTACAATAGCATGATGAACAAATGTAATGAATTGGCCATATTAGAACACTGCACCCAACAACCAGAGCATTTTAACCATGGACACCTTTTCTAAATTGACAATGTACTATAATATAAAACTATAAAGTTCAATGAAAGAAAACACTTTAAAGCATGATTATAAATAATAATGTACTTAAGCTGAAAATCAAAGAAATCAATTATAAACAAGAAGACATAATATGCTTATAATTTTTAAAACATTCTAAAGTGGGTCAAGAAATAATGGAAATTAGAAAATATTTTTAATTCAATTTTCAAGAAAAAACTTTGAAATTTATGAGACATTTCTAAAGCAAAACTTAGAGGGAAATGTATTGCCCTAAATACTTACATTAGACAAGGGGGAAAAAGCTGAAAATTAATCAACTAAGCATCTTTCTCAAGAAGTAAGAAAAAGCCTGGCATAGTGGTACATGTCTAGAGTCCCAGCTACTTGGAGAGGTGAAGTGGGAGGATCTCTTGAGCCTGGGAGTTCAAGGCTGCAATGAGCTGTGATCGTGCCCCTACACTCCAGCCTGGACAACAGAGGGAGACCCCATCTTTGAAAAAAATAACAAACAAACAAATCCAAAGTAAGGAGACTTAGGGCAATAACAAGGACAAATACGGGATTCAATAGTAACTGTACCGTAAAGAGGATTAATAACCTTATATCCTTTAAGTCTTCACTCAAATGCCCCCTTCTCCATGAAGCCCACCGTACACACACCGCTTAAATTGTGATTCATCCTTTCCACAAATACCCCGACAGTCTGGCGTCTGCCTGCTTACTTAAAACCCTTTAAAATATTTTATAATTTATTACAAAAAATGTTTAGTGTATTTGCCGCTCTCTTACCTTTTGAATGTAAGCTTATTAAGGGCAAGGATTTTTGTCTGTTTACTGATATCTCAAATGAGCAGCACATGTTAAGAGTCACTTATATTTATTATAATAATTGGAACAAGCCGCAATTTATTTCTTGAAAAAACTGATAAAATGGACACTTATTTGATGAGGCACATTAAGAGGAACAAAAGGCAATGATTAAGGTGATGAACAATGACATCTAACCTGGGGAAGGAAGAAATGAAGGTACGGAGGAGGGCATCGATGCGTGGGGAGACAGTGGCAGGGCCGATGGATTGGAGCTTCCCATGGAGCCCAGGAATTGTGTGAGCATTCTGGAGCAGGGGAACCAAAAAGAGGCAAGATGGTCACCCACGAGTCTGTCTATACCCAAGATTACCTACTCTTCGTGTGGGTTCCTCCTAACTTTAGATGATGCTCTTTCTTCTCTTTTCCTTTCCCTTATGAAAATGGAAAGTCCTTATCCCAGAAATTGTCCTCAGATCTAGTCCCACCGCTCTGACCTCTTTGCTGAGCCTCACTTCTGCAGTTCTACTGCCTGAATGATCTAACTACAGCATTTCATACAAACTCTATACAAGTTCCTTTCCACAGTTCCTCTTGCAAATTCACTTGTTCTGGTCTGCCACTCTTCCTTTTTCAGACTTTTTCTCTGACTTTTTTCTCTCCTTGCCTGAAATTTTAACCATTATCAAGTAAGTTAGCTTATAAAATTATTTGTTAGATCCTCTGCATTTCCACTGTTAAGGCTTTTTTAAATGTTTTTTCCTCCAATACCAGGTTAATTTTCAGAATTATATTCCTAATAGCCACAGCGCTTGTCAGAAAACTTTTCCTAGTTGTCCATTTCTCTCAGTTCCCAACTGTTGAGTTGTAGGCTCGAGCCTTCCTTTCCCTTCTCATGTCCTTCATCACCTCTCAGAGTCTGTCCAGGGCTCTTTCCGCTCCTCTCCTCGCCTTGCACCTGCATTTCCCTCTTCTTAGAATCTCTTCCTTCCTCTAACTGTTAAAATCTTTGGGCGCATATTTAAATACCCCCTGCTCTGTAAACATTTTATCTGATACCTGCTATTCAAAGTAATCCCTCCTTCCTCCAGACTTGCAGAATAACTCACTGCATACCCGTTAGCCATAAAAACACCTTTCGTGTTTATAGATGTCGTTTTCAAACTGCTTTTACATATATTTTGCTTTGTTCTTTACAACAAGATGAGGTTTTCTTTCGCACCATTTTAAAGATGTGGAAACTGGGGCTGAGTGTATTATTTAAAGTGCATATACTTGTTCCATTCACCCCTACTTTTGAATAATTTACGTGCTTATTTTTCTTACTGATTTCCAGACTTTGTCCTTCAAAGCACTGAGTCAAGGCTCCTCACTACCAGGCAGTCCTATTTGTTGATTAAATGCATGAAAGACTAGTTTCACGAAGGCAAAAATGTTTTTCATAATTACTATTTGAAGAGATGTGTTTTTAAGTAATTTTGCTGCATGTTAATATTGTGGTCTTTGTTAAGACCGGCAATAAGAAAAAGAAGATCAACAAAGCTGAGCGATTGAAGCAGATCCAAGAGGAGGAGGAGAAAAGACTGAAAGACGAAGGTAAAGAGTGAACCCTCGCTGTTTCACACGCAGACAGCACTGGCAGGAGGCCGGCATTTCGGTAATCCAGTCAGTTTTTTTCAATACTTCATAATTTTTGGCAAGGTACAGCGGCTTATACCTATAATCTTCACACTCTAGGAGGCTGAGACAGGAGGACTGCTTGAGCTTAGGAGTTCAAGACCAGCCTGTGCAAGAGCAAGACTCGGTCTCTACTAAAAACTGAAATCTAGCCAGGAGTTGTGGTGGGTTCCTGTAGTCCCAGCTGCTCAGGAGGCTGAAGCAGGAGGATCATGTGAGCCCAGGAGTTTGAGGTTGCTGTGAGCTAGGCTGATGCCTGGGCAACAGAGACTCTGTCTCAAAAAATAACAAATAAAAAACTTTTAATTTTTAAACTTTAATCTGTTTTATAATCAACACCTACCATTTATAGGGTACCCAGCAAGATCTGTTAGTACACACCAGTCACTTTGAGATAAATCTTGAAGTAGCATCGCCAGATAAAATATAGGAGCCCAGTTCAATTTGAATTTTAAATAATCAGCAGCTAATCTGGGATAGTGTACCCCATGCAATATTAAACCTAAAAAAGTTGACTTCAAATTCAGCTGAGTATCCTGTGTTTTTATTTTTATTTGCTAGTTCTTGTAACCCTTTTTGTTTTTGGAGGCAGTGTCTTACTCTGTCACCCTGGGTAGAGTGCCATGGTGCCATAGCTCACACAACCTCCTACTCTTGGGCTCAAGTGATCCTTTTGCCTCAGTCTCCAAGTAGCTGGGACTACAGGCACCTGTCACAACACTTGGCTATTTTTTAGAGGTGGTATCTCACTCTTGGTCAGGCTGGTCTTGAACTCCTGAGCTCAAGCAATCTACCTGCTTCTGCCTCCCAGAGTACTAAACTCTATCTTAAAGTGTTTATATTTACTGATCAAACTAGAGGAATTGGTGCTGATTATGCAATAAGAATTCTGAAACTGGCTTGGCACCTATAGCTCAACCGGCTAAGGCGCCAGCCACGTACACCTAAGGTGGCGGGTTTGAATCCCCAGCCCAGACCCGCCAAACAACAATGACGGCTGCAACCAAAAAATAGCCGGGCGTTGTGGCGGGCGCCT